TTACAGATGAGTAAACTAAGAACCAGAAAGGAGGAATAAGTGGCCCAGGGTCACCCACTTAGTGAATGAATGCTGGAGCCAGGCTTCTAACCAAGCCCTCTCTGAACTCGAAACCTCCACTCTCTCCATGCCTGCCTCACCCACGAGGAGCCCGGCTCGATGGCAGGAGGAGCCGGGCAATTCCCAACACCTTTGTGCAGGTGGACTCTTCTCTTTGGTTTCCCTGGCCCCACATTCACACCAAGAGAGCCTGCCTGCCGCCTCTGGGCCACCTCGCCTATTCCTACACATTGCCCTTCAGGGCCGGGGTCACAGCTCCAGAAGCCTCCCAACGACCCAGCCCCCCCGAGGTCCTTCCCTTCTCCAACACCCATGGCCGCCTGCTTACTCTCCGTGTGCTTCCTGTGAGCCACTCACCAAGCTGGAAGGGTCCATGGTCTCTTCTTGTCCTGCTCGCTCTCAGCCCGTGCACTAAGTGCTAGATCCAGCCGTGATCTGTTCTCCCCTCGTGGAGCCGGGGGCCGGGTGGGGGAGACGGGTGATCAGATAATCACATCCATCCAGCGTAACTGTAACTGTGACAAGAAAAGGGAAGTAACCAGCCCCGCGCTAGGGAGGTACGGGGTGACAAGATCATTACGCAAGATCTGACGCAATCAGAGGGTCAGGGAGGCTTCCTAGGGGAGCAGGGGAGGATGTGACAGTTATGCTGACGTGTGACAATGATGGGAACCTCACCAGCGGCTCAGGCGGAGGACGTGGCATGTGCAAAGGTATAAAGTGCATGAGGGGAGCAGGAAGGGGGCCCGCGGAAAACTCGCACAAGACCAGGCTGGGGAGGCTGGTGGGCTTGGGGCTGTGCGGGAGATTTTGGACTTTCTCCCAGGATCCCTGGGAAGCCATCTGGGAGGGGGAAGGGAAGGCAGTGAAAATGGACGGGCACAGCAGGGCCCTCCTTAGGCTGGAGCGAATACTCACCGTAGCGCTGCTGAGCTGCCGGTGGCTGTAGTATCAGGGACCAGGAACGAGCCCCCCCCACACCTGGTGGTAGGCGGTGGCCTCCACCTTAGCCTGCAAGAATGGCATGGAGACCTGTGAGCGTGATGCTGTGGTTTTGGTCCCTTCTTGGGACTGACTGATGCTTTTTTCAGAAGACAGATACGATGCTGAGAAAGGGAGCCACGGCTGACGTAACTTTGGCCACAGTGCACAAGACAGCAGCCCAGGAACCGTGGGTTTTTCCCCCTCTGTCATCAGTATAAGCGCAGAAAAGTGGCAAGCCGCCCCGCCACGCTCCCAGCGTCTCTGCGATCGGCCTGTTGATTCCCGTCAAAAACAACTTTGTTTTGCTTTGTTGGACTTTGGGGGTCATAAATCTCCGAAAAGAGTACATTCCCCGAGCGTGAAAACCGCCCGCCACCAGAGGGGAAGGCCGGAGATCTTGTCAGGAGCCGAGGTCAGAGAGCTGGGCTTGACATCATTTTTAGGAAATTCATTCTCTGGTTGGTTCCGTTTGGTCAGAAGCAAATGCCAACTGGTCTCTGGGGAAGAAACCAGCACTTTGTAACTTAATGCCTCTTCCCTGTGGCCAGATTTCACTAATCCTGTCCCCAGGGAGGGTTGAGGGGCGTGCAGGGGGAGGCAGGACTGGTCCTAGACGGAGCCCGTGCAAGGGCACCGGGCTGGGGCGCAGCTTCCTCATTTGCTTCTTCCAGCCAGCAGAGGCGGGACTTAAGGCAGGGAGGGGAGACACCCTAAAAAGAATCATCCCTTCTCCTCAGCAGGTCCTTGTTATGAAGGACTGAGCTAGAGAGGGTAGCACGTCACCCCAGCACCCCAAGCTCTTTAGTGACGTCCCAGCTAGTCTCTCCCTGGCAGAGTGATTTGGGGCAAATTATTTAACCTCCCAGAGGTGTGACAATATCTACCTCACAGGGCTGGGGCGAGAGTTAATTGACCGATGTAAAATGAGTGCTTAGATACCGAGTAGTGTCTGGAATACGTCAGTGCTCAGTAAGTGTTCCTTCCTTTCCTTTCCTTGCCAAGGGGAGAGAACGCCCCGGCCAAACGAGGGTCCCGGTCTCTGTCCAGGCAACAGCGTCTGTGAGCTAGACCTGTATTTGAGGCACTAAGCACACAGCACTGAGACGTAGCAGTCTCGTGGCACGTAGAGAACATGAGGATATTATCCAATATCAGCCGTGTGACAATGAACAAGTGAATATGTGACGTGTGGTATTGGTAAGTGCTGTGGGGAAAACCGAAGCAGAGTGAGGGGACAGGGAGCGCCAGGAGGCCTGGCTCTGGACAAGACGGCGTTGAAACAGAGACCCTAATGACATGGGGCGGGGGCCTGCAGGGAGGAGGAAGAGCATTCCAGGCAGCGGGAACAGCCAGGGCAAAGACGCTGAGCAGAGGACGCGTCTGACATGGTGGAGCAGCCAGAGGGGCAGGGTGGCCGGAGCAGCGGGCTGGGGCAGCAGAGGAAGGGGGTGCATGGCTGGGGTGACAGCAGCAGGCCGTGCCGCAAGGAGCCTGGCTCCTGCCGTGAGTGGGGTGAGAAACCCTCAATGGAGGGGATGCGGCTGGAGTGACGGGATCTGATGTGTCTCGGAAGGGTCCCTCTGGCCGTGGTTGCTCGGGAAGCGCTGATACAGGGCAGGGGTGGAAAAGAGACACAACTGACGGCTTCACCTTCACTGGCCCTCACCCCTGCAGGCCGGCCGGTGGGTGGTCTGGAGTTCCTGACAGCCAGAGCAGCCTTCCCCTTGCTCAGCACACCTCCCCTGCGGGGTCCCATGCAGGAAGGGAGGAGCTAATCTCCAGGGGGCACCACAGAACCAGTGTTGCCCCACAGTCAGGGAACGTGTGTGTCCTGTGCAT